TCGTGTTCGTGTGGACGGGGCCTCGATTTCCATTTTGTTCCAGTGTTCCCCTTTCTCTCAGATTCTCTGTCCTTTTTTCCTTTATTTTCCACTAGCCTCGCCTTGGAAGGTCTTTCAATTATTTTTTTCTTTTAATGTCTTACCTCTGCCTCCTGTCTTTCCTTCATCTGGACTCAAATCCTACCTTCATTCCTCTTTCCTTTCTTTTGTTCTTTCCTTGTGTCCTTTGTTACTTCCATATTTTCCTTCCTTGCTACTGTGGGAGTGGTGGCTCAGTGGTTCGGGAATAGACCTTGGAATCCTGAGGTTGTGAGTTTGAGCCTCACTCCCACAGTCTGCCAATCTGGGGCTCTGAGCAAGACCCCTAACCCCACGCTGCTCCCAGAGTGCTGCACAATGGCAGCCCACTGCTCCCCATGGGGATGGGTTAAATGCAGAGGTACATTTCTCCAATGTGAGATCAATAAAATTCAAGTTCAATTATTAACCCAACCTCAAGGAAAAATGACTAGTATTGGTAAATTGTGTTTTATACGTTGTTTCTAGTTGAATCTCCTTGTTTAGCTCCCTCAAGTCGATCCAGTTTATTTGGGAAGCATCTCTCCTACAGAGGTTTAATTAATTTGGGATAAATGTCCTCTTCATACAGCTGGGACATTTTATCCCAGTCTAAAGACTTGAAACAACCTTCTATATTTCCCATGACAATCTTCTCAGTGATCCAGTTTTCTCCACTGAAGATGAGCAGAGACAACAATTAGGATTTCATTTTTTTAACAGTCTGAAGATGTTTAATCTGCAACCGAAAACATCAGAGATGTATCATGAAGAAAGTTACATGCAGCGCTGCCATCAGTTGATCGGTAAATGTACAGTTTAGGGTTGAAAACTATGGTAAACTTTCTAGGTAAATAATAATATGCATGAGAAATTGCTGCAAACAAAATCTGAGATAATATTTTACCGCATGTGACGATTTCAACCAACACTTTTCTTTTGCTCGTTCGCTCTGATGTTTAAAAAGCCTGACAGAGTTCGGTGTAGCAGTGGATTTGATCCAGTGAAATGCTGAATTTTGCTGCTCCTTAGTGCTTGTAGGTCCTCCACAATGCATAAAATGTATATCTAAGTCAATGTATCTTAAAATAAGAATTAAGCAGGTAAGTGAGACATTTTGCAAATGGAACAAGACAATTTACATTTAAAATAAGGAAACACAGCTGCATGGTCTTATTTCAAGTGCATATTATCTTATTTGAAGGGTAAAATGCTTATTCAATTGGTAGATAATCTCAAATTAAGGGTAAATAATAGTGGTGCACTGATACCAATACCAGTATCGGGCGGGCCCCGATCCAGCTCCAAAATAGTGGTATTGGTATCGGCCAGTACCAACAAAAAGGGCACGGATATCATTTTGAGAGACAAAAGATTAATAGTCAACTATTGTCACCCATTCCAGGTAGGCAATAAAAAGTTATACTGGACTCACTTTGTTTTAGTCTTTTTCCTGCTTCACAAAGGTAGGCAGCAGCTTAACAAAGCCATGATGGCAATTACTTTACATCCAAATAGTATGCAGTCCTTCATATATTCGGGTGAAGAGACGTCCTCTTTTTCCCGGACATCTCCTACTTTTCATACCTAAAAAAATGTCTGGAGGGAATTTCAAACCGTCCAGGATTTTGGTCGACTACAGTGCAGCAGAACCGAGCCGTCAGCACCGCGGTGAAGTCGGTTTGAAGTTGGGTATTTGATATTCAAGCTCCGCAGAGTCAGCGGGATCTAGCAAACGGTTGATCCGACTGAGGGACTCCGATGTCGGCCAGCGTCTCTCAGCAGCTCCCACATGCAGGGAGCATCTGTTAGGGACCGTCAACAAATCTTTGAACCAAGCACCCTTGAGAAACAAAGATCAATAAATTCCGTATCTTATGACCAGCTAAGACGAAACTAATATAAAATAATGCCAATAGATAACATATGTAAGGCACACTTGCTTTTATGCAATTTTAAGCTATTTTCAATTTTTAAGATATTTTTAAAAACAAAGGTTTGGACTTTTCTTCAAGCCCTTTGATCATTTTTAAAGAAATTTGTAATAAAAAAAAGTGATATTTCTTCAATAGCTTCCAGGTCATGTGACTGACTGACTCAAAATTCTTTGTGAAATTGTNCTTATGACCAGCTAAGACGAAACTAATATAAAATAATGCCAATAGATAACATATGTAAGGCACAATCGCTGTTATGCAATTTGAAGCTATTTTTAATTTTTAAGATATTTTTAAAAGCATAAGTTTGGACTTTTCTTCAAGCCCTTTGATCATTTTTAAAGATTTTTGTAATTAAAAAAAAAGTGATATTTCTTCAATAGCTTCCAGGTCATGTGACTGACTGACTCAAAATTCTTTGTGAAATTGTTTAACTACGTTAGCCTGATGAGGGACACTCATTTTTATTCCATTTTAGTCCTTTAGCACCGGGTCGTGTTTAGTTACTCTGTCCCCCGGCTCGTTTCGAATGCCCAGTCCGGTCCAGTCAGCGACCCAGCAGACCCCCTCCATAAAAAACCCCACCAAGATAAAAAATAAAAAAACAGATCTGGTCACCCTATCATATATACACATCAGTTTCAAACAGGTGGTATCAGTATTGGCCAATACTACACAGCCAGGTATCGGTTATCGGTATCAGGGCCAAAACATGGCATTGGTGCATCACTATTTAATAACTTATTTTAAGAATTTTTTTCTCATTTAAGAACTTTTTTGCAGTGCAGTCTGTTTGACAAAGATCAAACATGAATAAAGTTTGGAAATAAGGTTTTTATGCATTTGAGATGTTACCCGGTTGTTATAAGATGAATAAAAATAAATAAATAATAATAGAGTACATGCAGAAATCATTCCAATTGCTCAGCATCCATCTTGGCAAATAAAAGCGACTAAATATATTTTTGAAATAATATTTTTTGTGCGTATGAATCAATATTTTGGGGATATCTCTTGATTCTGGTGGATTTTTTTTTAGCTTCGTGGGAGGCGTGGATGATACCGCTGCGTGGATTTCCCGGATGAAGCAGCGACGCCATCTTCACGCCTCTGCTCACCGGCTGCTCTTCGGCTCAGCGGAGCGACAGAGCTGTAGCTGATCCACCAGCAGGACGCTGCAAGCAGCCCGATAATCCCCCCACCCCACCCCCTGTTTTCCACCGGGACGCTAAAGCAAACCCTCCCCGCTACCTGAGCACCATGACGGACAGGGACAACTTGGTGTACCAGGCGAAACTGGCCGAACAGGCGGAGAGATACGACGGTAAGGCTGGGGGGGACACATCGTTACTAATAACGGTCACTGCGGAGTGCTGCGGCCGCCGCCTGCCTGTCTCCATGCGCAGCGCAGGGGGGCTTGGAGCCGCAGGTACACCGTTCACATGGATCTGTTGGCTGAGGGGGCACAAAATGGCGGAGGGTTTCCCTGCCTATTAAACCAACATCTTTAGCGGATACTACCCGGTTTCAGTCCCAACAGAAAGTAGGGACTGTTTGCCGAAAGCGTCCCTCTATCGGTGCTTCTCTAACCGGCGAACATTTTATGTTAAAGCCGCGGAGCTAAGCTAACATAACGCTAGTTAGCTAATGCTAACTAGCTGGTTAGCCCATTCTCAGTCCTGAGATTCCATCTCCAGGTCTAATAAACCCATTTACACACTTTTCAGATAATAACTCCCTATAAAATAATGTTAAGATATAAAATAAAGTAACTGTCTACGTCACTGCAGCAAGCAGCGCTTAATTCCTCTGAAGCTGACTCAACTAAAACACAAAAATCAAGACTAGTCCTTTAATTCAAGAGTAAATTCTCTCTGTACTGCAGGTAGAAAATTAAGGCTACTTGATTTTGTAAGCAATAAAAAAAAAGTCGTGTCCCTCATCAAGCAATTTCACCTTAAAGTAAATTAAATACCTTTCATATGATCTATGGGGTCTAAATTAAACTGCCTACAGTGTTTAAAACTGCTGCCATTGTTTGAAAGCAAAGTTTTTGTCTACAGTAGTGTTTTTTTAGATTAAATGAGTATGAAAAAATGACATGTTTACTATCAGATCTTCCTCCCTGTCCCATTGTCTGAAGCATTCATCAGGAGGAAAAACAGGCATCCCTCTTTTTCCTGCACCACTCCTCAACTCATTCCTTTAGATCCCAGGACATTCTCTGACTGGGTAGGATGTAAAATCCCACAAATAATTTTCTAAGATTTCTCCTCAGGTCTTATTCTAGTAGAATCTGATGGAAACTTTTCCACTAGGATGCATCCAGAAGGCTCTGCAGGCTGATATCGGTCTGCAAGGAGCGCCACCATAATGGATGGTAGCCGAGGAGGGTGATACAGATTATTTGAATTTTAACCTTGTTATGGGAGTGTGGTCTAGTGGTATGGGGATTGCGCTTGGAATCCAAAGGTTCTGCGTTTTATTTTTTATTTTTTTCAGCTTTTATTGTCATTACACTGTCAAAAGTTCAGAGAAATGAAATTAACTCTGTGCATTTAACCCATCCCCTTGGGCATCAGTGGGCTGCCATTGTGCGGCGCCTGGGGAGCAGTGTAGGGGTTAAAGGTCTTGCACAGGGGCCCAGAGTAGCAGTCCGTGGGAGTGGGGTTCGAACTCATAATTCCAAGCACAATTCCCTAACCCGCTAGGTCACCACTCCTACAGTCGGAGGTCCCTGAGCAAGACCCTTAACCCCACACTGCTCCCCGATGGGATGGGTTAAATGCAGAGGGTTAATTTCTTTGCTTTGTACTCTTTACAGTGTAATGACAATTTTTAAAAAGCTGGAAAAAGGAAAAACTGATGAAAATTAACGATGTAGCTTTAAATTTGACAGTTCATCACTGGAACTCCTGTGATAAGGAACATTTAATTTACCTTTGTTTGATTAAATTATTGCATGAAAGGTTATTTTTTTGCACATAATTTCAAGTTGACAGACTGATCAGTCGTATTCATTCATTTTATAACAGTTGTCTCATAAAACTGGCAGTGGAGATGGGTTTACCTTTCAAAAGCAAATGAAAATAAAGCAGTAATTAATGATAGATAATCTTAGGAACAGGTTTTAGGCCTTGTTGAATTGTTCCAGTATTTTCCTGCCGTGTTCCAGATGACCACAGCTCAGCAGAAACTCCTCCACGCTGCTCTGACTCAGCTGCTGATCTTCAGATATCGAACGGGCAGGCTGAGAGGGAAAACGTCCAGACCATGTCCACCCAGGAGATGGCTGGAACGTTTCAGACCGCTGATTGATTTTTTTATTTTTTTCCCCCTCCTCTTGCTGTCTGCCTCCTGTTCTTGGGATGGTTAAAAGCACTGATAGCGGTAATAATCTGCTCACCCTTCAGTGGGGTTCTCACAGCCCAAAGAATGCATTAAGTGACTTTTTCCCACAACAAGAATCCAGCAGGTTTGCATTTTCCACATATTTCAGTGCAGCTGCCGCTGTTGATTGTAGGCAGGGATTAAAATTTAAAGTTTTTGCCATTAGATCAGTTTGTTTTGGGCGAGGATCAACAGTCTTTGACCCAACTGGAGCATCCTTGGTTCAGAACATACTGTTTCTGTGTTTAGATGTCTGATCAAAACTTTAATTGTTGTCCTAAGTCAGGGGCCGGCAACCCAAAGTGCACAAAGAGCCATATTAGACCAAAAAAAACGAACAAAAAATGAATCTTTCTGGAGCTGCAAAAATGTAAAAATTATTTTTTATGCCTTGTATGGCATTATTTATTATCCCTCTATAGAAAAGGACTACATGGGCTTTAAAGGAATAGTACACCCAAAACATGATTAGCCTTCATTTTCTACTCACCCCCATGCTGAACAACACTCTGGAGTACTTTTTTGATATCTCAAATGCATCTGGAGATCTGGGAGGCTTCTTGCTGTCTGCTGACATTCAAATAATGGAGGTCTATGGTGCCTGAGACAGAAAGGTCCATAAAAGTCCACAAAAAACGTGTCAATATTCCTCCATACTGCTCGTCCAATGTATTCTAAATGACTTCGTTTCGAGTAAATTATGGATGCTACCCACTCAGGACACTTGGAATACATTGGACGAGCAGTATGGAGGAATATTGACACGTTTTTTGTGGACTTTTATGGACCTTTCTGTCTCGGGCGCCATAGACCTCCATTATTTGAATGTCAGCAGACAGCAAGAAGCCTCCCAGATCTCCAGATGCATTTGAGATATCAAAAAAGTACTCCAGAGTGTTGTTCAGCATGGGGGTGAGTAGAAAATGAAGGCTAATCATGTTTTGGGTGTACTATTCCTTTAATATACACGCTGGTTGCAAGTTATGAACACTGATCTCTATGGCTATGATGGAAATTATTGTTTAAATGTATTTATTATACAAATGTTTACAGCATTGGAAAACATAATTGATTTTTGTTTGACCTCCTGCACACCATACAAAAAAAAAAAAAAAAAAAAAAAAAAAAAGCTTTTCATAAATTTTTAAAAAAGCTCCAGGGAGCCGCAGAGGGGGTGCTAAAGAGCCGCTTGTTGCCGACCCCTTTCCTAAGTGTTTGGCTCAACTCTGTGTTTTCCATCCCTGGATGACGTTAGAGTGGAGCTGATCGTTCATAGTGTGATTTTTAGAGGTGAAGGACAAGTGGTGGAAGCTTTACAGGCTCTACTGGGGATCTGGTTTCATCATTACCGGGTTGGTGGCGTTGGATGTCACCTGGATGGTACTGGACAGATTCTAACCTAACCTAAATAAAGGTCGCGCACTTGTGTGTTTGTGGCAGACGGGGAAGAGTGTTTCCAGAGACTTATTTCCTCAGTATTGATTTGGAGAGCCTAGTAAAGGAGAATTAGGTTGCAGGACTACTACACAGTCTAGAAACGTCATATTTTCTCTAAAAAAAGACAAATTGTCAGAATTAGTTGGTTAGATGTCTGTTTGAATTAAGGCTATAACTAATGATTATTTTGTTAATGATGAATCTGTCCATTATTTTTTGATTTATTGATCAAATATTGGATGGCAAAAGGTTCCTCAAAGAAGATTTTATACAGAATTAAACCAGGTGAAACTAAAACATTTCCTTGTGGAGGTCATGATGGAGAATATTGACAGAGAAAAGTTATTTTTTTTTCTGTCTTAAATGCAAAATATTTTTACATTTCTTCACAATTATGTTATAGTTACTGCTCTTAGTGGGTTGCTCTCTTAGCTAAAGGCACGTTTTAGAATCTCTATACTCCAGTTACGGTTCATCGATTGCTGAATTAGTTGACAATTATTTTAATAATCGATTAACAATTAATCTGATTCTGTTTCAGCTCTAGTTTTAATCCAGCTTCTCACCTACCTGTCTGCCTATTAGTGTTGTAGCAGGTTTGTTTGAGAGTGCAAAGGCTCGCTAAAGAGCAGGAATGCCTGATATGAAAACTTAGGCCAATATTATCCCGCATTGATATTTCTGTTATGACGGATAACCAATATTTGCGTTTTTGTACATTTTCCTTCCATTTTTGATCCATGAAAAAGGACCACACTCTTCTTCAGCTATACACCCACAATCCTTTGCTGCATCACCATCACTGTCACATGGTCAAAAAAATACCATATGCCCCTCTAAAGAAACGTTGCTCCCTGATATCTGCTTTGTTTTACTGATCTATTAGAAAATAACTTGCATCAGGTGATTTTTCCACTCAGGGAAAAACATCAATGATATTTCAATATCTCTATACTTTTATTCATTAAGCTGGTGAAGAGTCTCAGTCATCCAGGTCATAGTCATTCCAAACAAGTTAAGAAACAATCCACTGGACTTTGTTTTCCAAGTTTGAAGATGTTTCACTTCCCATTGAGGAAGCTTTTTCAATTCAAAATGTCAGACCAGTGTTGAGTTCGAAGCATTAAAGAGTGGACCCAAAACAAAGCCTTGTTTTGGCTTAGAAAACATGCAAATAGGGCTCGGTCGTTATGACGTAAGCACTTTGCGTCGCCGCCATCTTGATGACCTCTTATCGTGGCTCAGACTACTGCCTATGACTACCGCGTACTGTACTCCCTCTCAGCCGTGTTTTAATTTGATTAATTTCACCTTAACTTGATTT